CATAAAATGTAAAAATCAATTTAAACTTATTGGAACAGATTAATTTCTATCACTGCTGTGAATTGACCCGCACACAGAATATGAAGGATATCGAAAACAAATTTTACGGACACACACACACCAGTACGAATAGGGACATTTAAGAGGGTTTATTCTCCAAATAACTAATTTCATGTTGCAGAAAAGTGTTTAGAAATTGTGTTTGGACTCTTGTTCTTGTTCCAGGTTACCTTCCTGCCCACTGATTTTTGCCTCTCACAAAAGCCACAAAGCCTTCCAAGAAGACAGTAAAGGCTTACGTCATGCTTGAGCTTTAGTTAGGCTGAAACTTGAAAGTTAAGTTGCACGACATAAATGCAATGTTTTGGTATTATCATTATTTTCATTACTATTATTTTGATTTATGCCTTAGTTTTAGTTTGTACTGTTTACCTTTTTTAAAGTAATGTGAAATTGATTTTTGTACTTTTACTTATTTATACATTTTATTTTTTTATTGATATATTTGTATTTGCATTTTGAATGTAATTTGGCAATTAAATGGGTTTAGTTTTCACGGTTATTAATGTATGCAATTTCAGCAATAAAAATGTTAATTTTTCTAAAAAGAAAACAAATTAGTTGTTTATTTTAAGAGATCTATCTTATTATCTCTTGTATATTTAGTATTGCTCTTTAATAAAAAAAAAAGCTACTTATCCGATTACTCAATCGATGGAATAATCTGTAGAATACTCTATTACTAAAATAATCGATAGCTACAGCCCTACTGATGTTTACTGTTAATTTTTTTTAAATATCAATAGCATTTGTATTAAAACTATATTCACTGAATGTAATCAAAAAATTAAGAATTGAATCGAGAGCTTGCGAATCATCTGAATCGATACCCAGCCCTACTTTCCATGTCTAAATTAATTTCTCTCACAGATTGTGGGAGATTGCTTTTAAGAGACCCAGTACAGTTGATGAAGTCACTTTAAGTGACAGGAATAAATTTGTAGTTTTGCAAAATTGATTGTGCTCAGATCAGCTCCAGGTTTCCCCATTTAGCTCTGGGTTTTGAAACAGGCAGTTTAACCACCAGAAGGATAATGGTATCAGAACATAGGAAACACTGTTAAAACCCAGGAAAACCGATATACACAGGGCAGTTGCATAACAATCCGCTTGCATTTAACAGAAGGCCGAGTGACGGGACCCAAGTCTGGCTGGCCTCAATGGATTGTGTGTGCTGTTCAAATAACCAGCGGTCTGTACTCAGATTCCTGCATTATAAACCCTAAAGTTGGGCAGGTGAGAGAGTCCCTCCATGCGGTTTCTGGGTCCTCGGCTTTGCTGAATTTGCATAATTTTGGAAAGATAATTTGTTGCTTGTTTTTATGTGCAAAGGGAACATTTTTGGTGCTGCCTGAAAATGTCAACTTGTTTTTCCCGGATTTGCTGCCTTCAGTTTTTTTTGTCCTCAAGATAAACAAAACGGTAGCTGTGCCTAATTTTAGCCGTTTTCGTGGTTTTTCATATCCTGTATTGTGCATTTTAGCAGTTTATTTCATACCTAGAGAAGTGTGAAAGACATTGGCCTTATTTTAAAATGCAGGCACTATCATATCTGTGCAGGCACACCCACTGAAACCAAATGACAGGTTTTGCCACCAGCCCATAAAAAGCATTATGCAACACTTCTGTTTTTCTTTTTTTTTTCATACAGTTTAAAGTCCTTACACACTGGCCTCTCCTCTGCTTTAATAAATCTGTTTTTGCTTTAGGAAGATGTGGAGTGAATCATTCAGCTAAAGTGCTTTCAAAATTGAGACTTTGACTTTGCCCAATGTCAACCATTTATTCTTATGCCATCACTTTTTTTTGCACGTTTTCCCACTTAGCTTGCTTGAAGCCTCACAGTAAACAAGACTAATGGTTCGCAAATAATGCACAACTAAGTGCAACCGCCTGCACAGCATCTAAAAGCATAAGTGGGCCAATATATCATCACTAGCATCTGCAGTTGTGATTATTTTTCCCCTAAGTCTATGGTCTTCATGCATCCCTATGTATAATAAATCTTGACCGAGACCCATGTTCATCTGTGGCCTGAGGAGTGGCCGTAAGTATGAACATCTGCTTTCTGTCGGTGTGTTTTAGATCGCGTGAATGCCTGGCCCCCATTTGGAGCGGACTTGCTCTTGCTTCAGATGAAGAAGATCTAATTGGCCAGATTCCTGGACTAATGAGCAACCTGAAGGGTTCAGTGGTATGGTGCACTTGGAAAGAGAGCACACATCTAGTTGTTTGTGTATCCCAGGCCCTTTGATGCAGCATTCATGCATTGCAAACTCCTCACAGCGTTAGTGGGTTCGGTCAGGCTTTGTTTACTAGGTTTCGAAATGCTCTTTGACCTCCGACCAGATGGAAGTTACTAAACCCTGATGTGTCCGTCATGAATAGAGACACCGTGTTTTCATCCTGGGTGTTCATTCAGGTTGTGTAGTCACTTTTAGAGAGCTTGATGGTCTGATCTTGACCCTTTAACATGACTGACTTTAGCATAGCCACATGACAAGCGCTGCCAATAGCATCACTTTGTTTTTTCTTTTCTTTTCTTTTTTTTTTTAATCCTAATATCTTTTTCTCATTTTCTTTTTGGGGAGATGCACCAATATTAATTTTAGGGCTGCCACTAACGACTATTTTTATTTTGATTAATCTATCGACTAATTTATCGATTCATCTTAACGATTAATTTCCCACAAAAAATCAACAATTTCACTTAAGAATATTTTATTAAACTATATTTTATTAAACCAAATGAAATCCAAATTTCTATGAAATCCTTTTTTTAAAGTAAAAGTAAAGTGCAACATAGTGCAAGAAGCAAGTGTCCATCTCAGTCCAAATCACTGAAATCAAAGTTTAGTATTATAGTGTAAGAATGACAACATATCCACGTGTTATAGTCTACTAATATTAAAATTATAATGAAAAAAAAAAACACTTTTTAAAGGAGTATTTACCAGAAATGTTATTTACCAGAATTTATTTAGGAGAAAAATGTAAATGTGCAGTATTTCTGAAAAAAAAAAAAAAACTTACATAAAATCAATTAATTGGAGATGCTTCCTATAATTATAATTAATTTTTTTGTGATAATAAAAAATTATGTAAGTGAACAATAGCCTTTAAAATTGCTTAAAATACATATATAATAGTATAAATATAGGATTTGTATTAAATCTATATTCATTCATATAGTCAAATCGAATCGAAATCGAATCGAATTGAGAGATTGAAAATCGAAATCGAATCGAATCGGAACATCTGAATCGATACCCAGCCCTATTGTTTTCCCTTAATAATAAAAACCTTCATTTAAAAACTGCATGTTGTGTTTACTTGTTATCTTTGACTAATATTTAAATTAGTTTGATGAGCTGAAACATTCAAGTGTGACAAACATGCAAAAAAATAAGAAATCAGGAAGGGGGCCAACACTTTTTCACACCACTGTACATTACGCATTACAACAAAGGCCTGCAGAGGGTGCCAACGGCCTGATTATTTTTACACATTGTTGTGCGATCTAATACTTGTTTAATGTCCAAGCACCATTTAATTCAAATGTCCACTTAATCTTTAATATTTTGCCATTTCTTTAGGACAGAAATGCTATAGCCACTGTAATTAAAAGAATATGTGGACATCAAAATGTGTAAACTCAGAGTGAGGGTTTGAGCTTTTATTTTGAAACCGCGATGTATTCTCCTGAGTTTTATTTATAAAGTAGATTTATAAATTATTTACCTTACAAATCTGTATGAAACGGTGCACGTTGCGTTCCCAGATGAACATTATAATAAACCCAAACTCACAACAGCATGCAGAGATGGAGTTTGAGATGCACCACACATGTAAATGATAACAGTTCCTGTGGAACTACTGTGTAATTAAATCGTAGCATTTGTGAATTCACAATTATGCTTAATTATGATTTTTAAATGGGTTTAATATATCATGCAACCTTGGGAAAAAATGTGTTTTATGGATTCTCGTCCGTGAAATGCGTGAAATCCGGTATTTTGCCAGTTAGTCGACGTGAGCAAAATGAAGTCGGGGATTTTAAAAATCGAATAGTCGAATAAAATCGACGAATCGCGACAGCCCTACTTAATTTAGTTTTTTTCTTTATTAATTTATTTTTGTTTAAATTATAGCTAAAAATAAAGGCTTGTTTTAAATGTTACAAGGCCATTTAGGATATCATAATTTACAATACGAATAATGGATTTTTGCCAAAGATTACATTTTAACCATTTTAACAGTCAATAAATTATTATTATTATTATTATTATTATTATTATATTTTTTTAATTTAGTGAATGCTGAATGATGTCAAAGGTAATTAAAGATCCAGTATCGGCCATTATAATTTAAAACATCTCTAAAATGAGCCAGTAACCACGAAGGTACTGATACAATTTGCATCCCTAGAGACTTTTGAAGGTAGTTCTGTCTAGAATGGCTTGATCGTTGTTTCAAACTCAATACACCAAGATGCATGTAGGATCAATTTTGCTGTGTGCACATAGTGATGCGTCATGCAAATTGTCCATTGCTGGTTGCAATTAGGTCAGCGGCAAATCGAAATTGAAATCAGACCGACAAGGTTTATGTGTGGTCGTTGCCAGCTGTGTTTTAAGAGCCTGGAATCAGTTTGTGCGCTTTGATCCATTTGTCAGATCATCTTGATATGTCGTGGTCTGTATATCATCCACTTGAGGATGAAACCTGATCACACGCCCCTTCCTGTAACCGCTTACCATTGCTGTTCGACATTTTGAATTGGGACCGGGTATGTTACAGGTGTGAAGCCTTATACCTTCCTTAGAACCTGGAGTCTGTTTTACATGCCATCTGGTATAAGGTTCCCATTTCATCTGTAGAAGCTCCTGGCTTGCTTCCCAAACTTCAGGGCTTATGGCATCAAGAGTTTATGTGAGTGATTGCAGAGTCTCATATCACCTTAGTCACTTTTAGATCCAGTCCTACTGAAAACCTTCGCATGAAAGGCTGTTTTTGTCTTTAGGCGTAAACTAAAAGAACACACTGAATCTGTGCCTACAGAATTCCACAAAGTTAAGTGGATTTGGAAAATTCTACAAACAGGGTTCGTTACACATTCTCTTATTGAAAATTGATTCATTTGAATTTGCTTTCAACTACCAATCAGAGTGCAGCACTCTCTGTTTAACACCATGTTAAAATTGCCCCGGAATCAGGACAGAGTAAAAAAAACAACTACAGATTCTCAGCCACATCATTAGACTTTAAGCAGTTAGAAGCCTTTAATGTAGCTTCATTCCTTAACTCAGTCTTCTCAAGAACATCTAAACCAAATCAATACCTAATAATATAGCTGTTCATGCTGTTGCTTCCTGAGATCATCAGGCCTTTATAGAGGATTATATTCAGCTCTGTCTAATGCACATTGATTCCATTGAAGCCGGGCAGACTGTCTGCGTTTCTTAGCATTTCCGGCGGGAGCTGAAATGATGCAGCGTTGAAAAGGCTTTGTTTATTGCTCTGGTGCCTCTGCCTCATAACGCTCCATGCAAACAACACTTCCGTCTCTGAAGAGCTTGAAAAAAAAAAAAAAAGCTTGTTTTTTTTTTAAAGAACTTGATTTGTTTACCTGGCAACATTATCGGTTGGTCTACCTGAATCAATTAGGGATGCAACGATACCATTTTTTCAGAACCGATCCGATACCAAAAATTCTGAGTAAATTCCGGCCAATTCCGATCCGATCCGATACCAGTGCAGTTTTTTTTTTCTTTTTTTTTTTTTTAAATCAATGTAGAATTTCTGTACTTTTGTGGGTTGACCTGATCATCACTCTTTTGTGTGCTAAACACAATCTGCTAAATATAGACAACTTAATTTTAATGAAAAATAACAAATGAAAAAATATATAATCATAAAATATGACAAAAAATACTATTATAAAACTAGGTTAGTGGATAATTCAGCAGCAAAAGTTATTCTAGGAAAATCATGTGTGCACAATAATTTTATAAAAACATTAAACTAAACTAAACATTTAGTGAAACAACATTATTTAGTGGGAAACAAATAAAAGTTAATAAGTGTAGGTAGTGTTGTCAAAAGACCCGGTATTTCGGTACCAAGTCGGTACTAAAAAAATGAAAACGTTACGGTACCAGGTTTTTTAAGTACCGGTGGTACCGAGTACCCGGCCGACCCGGTTCTTGATGCGCTATCCGAAAGCTATCCTCTTCCAGTGTTGCCAAGTCCGCGGTTTTCCCGCGGAATTGGGCTACTTTAACACTGTTGTGTTAAATGTTGTTTTTCATGTCCGCGGGTTGAAAAATGACCCCATTAACGTGATATTTAGCCCCTGGAATGCGAATTTTACCAGGGGAACCCCGCCAAAACATGCGTATTTTATCCTCGGAACGGGATTTTTAACGGGGAACCCCCTCGAAACGCGATTGGGCGGGTTTTGTTGTGAAAACCTGGCAACCTCTTCATAAAAGCAGTGGCGACCTCAAGAGGAGGAAACGCATCAAACTAACAAAACACCCCGCTCAAGCAGGTAAGTTTCAATTACATTTTTTATATTTAGAGCTTCTGTTATGAATATTATTCCATATTTTAATTTGAATTTCGGATTGAAATAAACATCGCCGTTAGCGTATACGTAGTTAATCGTTAGCATAAGTGCGGCTAATGCTAATATAATGAGCATTAGAATGAATTTTGTTCAAAATGATTTCTTTAACTATTTAATACTCCTATAACTTCTATTACTGTAAAAAAAACAGGAGGACATAATGGTATTTACTATTTTTACACACCAGAGGCTTTTAAATGAACTGTGTAACCAAAATATGCATTTTAGAGAATGTACAAATGTATGGTTAACAGTGTTTGTCATATAGTGTTTGTCATATTAGTCCGTCAGAAATTTTTTTTTAAATTATTTTTTAGTTAGTTGTAATTCTTGGCTGAATATCTCTAGCACAGCGCGCAGCGCTCCGCATTAGGGCTGTCAAAAAAAAATTTGAATTTCGAATATTCGTCGAATTTAAAATAAAAATCCACAATCCGAATTTTAGGTGTGCGTTAAGGAGGCAGCCTTATCAGCGGCGCACGAGTGACGAGATGCGATGACGATGTAAGTGTCGTTGCATTATAATATTTTTGTTAGCCTATCCAGTTGAAGCCACTAGATGC